GTAATTCTATAATTATTTATAATCAAATTTAAAGGGTTTGTCAATTAATATAAATAAATAAATGGATATTATTATTATTGTCATTATTATTTTTGTTATTATTGTTATTATTATAATTATTATTTTTGTTATTATTATTATTTTTGTTATTATTATTATTATTATTATTATTATTATTATTATTATTATTATTATTATTATTTTTGCTATTATTATTCATGTTATTGTTATTGTTGTTATATTAATTTATGTCTAAGCGGTAATTTATGCATACATGTATTTGTAATATATGACGATGCAATGTAACACGATTAAGAGATCAAATGAAAAGCAAAGTTCGCCCATAGTCATTATAACTATAAATCCTGTGAAAGCAGAGTTGCTAGGCAACTGACGCCCACCTGATGCCACGAGCTTTCTTAGTTGTTTACGATTTTACGTAAAAGACCTGTGACTACTGTTCTCCGATTCTGTATATGTAGGTGTCTACTTTTTTTCCACAGGGACAAATAAATAGGAAATGACTTTTAGTTTTCATAAGGGGAAAAATAAAATAAATGAAGACGAATTATATAATATTGTGCAGAAATTAAATAAATTCAAAATGGCAAAAAATTACTTATTTAGTGACTTTTTATTTAAACCGTAAAATTCTCCGTATCATTGTAATCTTTAATTTCAATTTTAATCTTTGCAAATAAATTAAATTAATAAAAATAAACAAATACTTATTAAGGAATTTTTTATTTTAAAGTAAATTAAAAAATTACTTATTATTTAGTAATTTTTTCTTCTACAAAACGATTAATATTTTTAAATAATCCTTAAATTGTGAACGTTCAAATGTAAAAGAAATTTATTTATTTCTTCTTTAAATTAATTTTTTTACCAAAATTTTGCTTTACTTTAAAAAAAAAATAATTATAAAGTTTCTAAATGTAAAATTTCAGTTTTTAATTTTAATTGAAATTAGTAATTTTTGAAAATATTTCGTTCATTTGATATTTCAAAAATTGTAGATCATTAAACATTGTTTCTATTTTACCTTGGTATATATTCTCTATTTGAAAATTCATATACTATCCATTATTAAAAGAAAAATGACAGTTTATATTTTTTATATTAATAACCTTATAGGCACAATGATGAAGTCAATGCTTTTTATTGATCCATTTCATTGAATGCAAAATTTATACAATATCCTAATATATTTATTCCTTTTCATCGATCGAAGAAGCTGTGAATTCAATAGAAATCCAATATAAGAATTGAATCAAACGTATGCGTGCATAAACGATCGGAGGGGAATTAGACTATTTGCAATTAAAAATGGTTTATTTCTTTATTCACTTATTCTGATTTCTTTGTCTGCAATCCAGACTTTGTCCACCTTGACCTCAACTGTTAGGAGTGAAGGTGATAATGTCAAAGATATTGATGACTCAAAAATAAATAAAATTCATTTTTTTTTTAATAATATCCATTGGGAGTAACTTTTAATTACATTATGTTTCTAAGTAATGTGTATACACTCACTACTGGATCTAATCCCCAAACTGAATAACTAATCAGCTTTAGTCCACAAACGAACTGCGCAATTACAGCAAATGTAAATATTTGAAATTTCCACTATAAATTATGTGAGTTTATTTTACTTCTATTTTAGTGTAGTTCAAAACTAATTTTCATTAATGTCAGGTAACTTTCGAATATGAGCAAGTTAATCGTAAGGTATATTTAAACTGAATATTTTTTTAAAAAATGTATCAAAATACGTTTTTCGTCTCAATCTGATTCCCTTGCACTGAAAAAAAATTCCTTTGAGTCAAATAACCAATTACTTGTTTATTACCAAATAAATATTTACTTGAATCAAATAATTTTTATTTAAATCAATTAAATTATTTGATTTCAGTAAATATTTAATTGAAAATAGTCAAGTGATCGGTTATTTGAATCAAATAAATTTTTTTCAGTGTAAAAAATCTGTGAAAGTAACCAATTAGTCAATTAATTAATTAATTAATTTGTTTATTAAATTATTAACTATTCATTATTATTAATTGTTCTAGAAATTGTAGAAATTTATTAATCAATTAATTAAATCATTAAATTATTATTAATTGCTATAGAACATTTAATAAATAAATTAATTGATGAATAAATTTGTTTATTAAATTATTAATTATTAATTGTTTTAGAAATTATAGAAATTTATTAATCAATTAATTTATTCATTAAATTATTATTAATTGTTAAAGAACATTCAATAAACAAATTAATTGATTATTAAATTGACTGATTGGTTATTTTTACAGTTTTATACATTGAAAAAAATTTATTTGATTCAAATAACCGATTACTTGACTATTTTCAATTAAATATTTACTAAAATCAAATAATTTTTATTTGAGTTAATTAAATAGTATTTGCTTCTAGTAATGTATAATTAATTAATAATTAATTATTCTATTAATTACTACACTGATAGAAGAATATATATTTGAATCTAACATAATTATCTTTGTTATGCAGTCAACCAAAAATTATTTTTGAATTAGACATAATGGTTTTGATTCAACACATAATAAAATTTTATTCAACAAAAATTACGTTTAATTCAATTATAAAATGTGTTTAAATCAAACATATTTTTTTTCTGTCTACTTATTTTTGGTTTAAAAAAAATTTTTTCTCTGTGTATTATTATTATTATTATTATTATTATTATTATTATTATTATTTTTATTATAATTATTACTTCTATTTTTATTATGATTAATAATTTTGATTATTATATGAAAAGTACAGAAAGAAGTGATTAAAAAACATTATTTTAAATAAGAAATATAATTATTATATTGAATAAAAAATAGTAAAGAAGCTAAACTTTATAAAAAAAATACATTATATAAAAAAATTTAAATTAATATTTAAAGTAATTTCTTTAATTTTTATCGAAAATTTTTTACTTTACTTTTTTTTGTAGTTTAATATAATATATTGGGAAATTCATCTTTGCATATAGGTATAATATATATTATGTGCTTGTGGCATTTAAACTGGTAAATTTAAATAAATCAATACTAATTTCATGTCAATTATGATCACTTCCATGTGTATATTATTGAAAAATAGCTACACGTGTTGATAATAATTTTGAACTAGACAAAATTCATCAAGGTCCCTTTTAAAGTATAGTTTTATTCTGATGATAATGATAATCTTATCATGCATTAGAATTGTGCGTAGCTTCTTTGTATGTTGACTTTTGATGGTCGACAAGAGTTTCAGGTTCAACAAGATCAAGGTTTTTAGACTTTAATATAAGAACGTGTGATTGAGAATTAGTTTTTCAAAAATTTACCATCTTTTTTCCTATTTTTTTTTATTCAAAAATATGTTTTTTAATTCCTTCTTATTTTTTTTATTTATCAATTATAAATATTTCATTTAAAAAAGAAAAATGTACAAATTTAATTTTGTTTTTATGTTTGTATTTGTTTTTGTTTATTTCTTTCATTTGTTTGTACTTTTGTATAAAAGTTAGATGCTCTTGTTATTGTTTCTTCAGTATAAAATTTTTTTTTTAATAAAAATTATATCTTTTTATTCAATTCCTATTTTTGTTTTTTTATTTATTAATTTTGATTTATTTGCATTTTTGAAATAAATTGTAGATTCTATTTCTATTTTCTATATAAGTACTATTTGTAAGGCTTTTTGTCCCATCTATAAATTAAATAAATTAATAAATATATTTTTATTCAAAATAATATTTTTTTTACTCCTTTTTTTATTGTTTTTTTCTATTTATTTTGTTTCTGTGTTGTTTGTATTTTCTTATCAAAATAATTTTATTTTATTATTCAAAATAATTTGTTTTTTTATTAATTTTTTTTAATATTTTTTATTTTATTCAATTTGGTTTTTGTGTTGTTTGAATTTTTTATTTATTAATTTTACTTTTTTTTTTTTGTATTTTTGAAATTAATTTGAGCTTCTTTGTTATTTTTTATACAGTATAACATTTTTTAATTTACTTTTTCTTTTAGTACTTTTTTATTTATTAATTTTGTTTTTGTTTTAAACGTAATTTTTTAAAAATTATTTTTTTTTTCGAACGTATTTTTTTAAAAATTAATTTTTTTTGTTTCGTTTGTATTATTTTTAATTTTTAAAATTTTTGTACCTATTTTTTTTTTTTTTAAATTCTCAAAATTTAAAAATTTTCTTATCTTCAATTATGATAAATAAATAAATAAATAATTTTTTTTTTTAAATTTAAGAAAAAGGGTATTTTTACTTACTGTTTTTATTTACAGCTTATTGCTCCGTTGAGTACAATTTAATACACGTTGAAGAAATTGTCAAATTCTTTAAAATGAAACTGGATGTATTTTTCTTCATTGTCTTCCCTTCTTTAAATTGTCTTCGTTTGCGTAGTTCAAAATTATGTTAATTTTTTGTTTACTTATAGATTAAAATGTTCAAATGAATGACTTTTTTCTATTTAAATATTTCCAAAAATTAATATTCCGAATTAAAAAAATATTGTACTTTAAATATTCTACTTTCAATTAAAAACTAATTTTCTTAGAAAACAAAATTTTTGAATATATTTCGAATTCAGGGAAGTAACGAAAAATAACGTCACTCATTCCAATGTTCGAAAGTTTAGACTCATTCAAATTGAAGAAATTTTAAAACTAAATTTTTTTAATAAGAAAAAATGTACGAAGTAAATAAAATTGAATTTGTAAATTCAAAATTAAATAAATAAATAAGTAAATATTTGTTAGTACCTAAATAAATACTATAACTAAAGCATTCGCAAATAAATATTTGTAAATATGTAAATATTTGTTAAATAAATAAATTTCAAATTAGAAAAAGGTAAAAATTGTAAAATTTTGAATTTAAATTAAAAAATTATGCGAAGGAAAAAGAGGGAAAGGATCAAAAATTAGAATTTTTGTAAAAATAAAAAGAGATTGATATATAATTCACCAGACAATGTTTATTCAGACGACCTCACAACTCCCAAGCGTACAAAAATGACGTGCTCACTGGGCAATATGCGGGGCTACTTTGTATTTTTTTTCTTGTACAGTATTATTTTTTCCATCATTTTCTTTTTCTTTGTTTGCCTATTTCATTCAAAAATGTTTTGATGTGAGTGATTGTGTACGAATATATGTCAATTTGAGTGTGAGTGTTTTACAATCTTTTCATTTCTAACTTCACCGGAAACAACTGTTTGTATTTTTTTTATTTCATTTCTTAATGGATAGAGAAATATATCATACTTTATGTATCGTTTACTATAATAATTCATTATGTGTAGTTTATGCAATAACAGTATACGAATATCAACGCTAGTTTTTTTCTTATTTTGCGGGCTGGGTTATTTTTTTTTGGAGGTCTGGGGATAAATTTGAAAAATTGGTCATAAATATAGAATTTATATTGTATTATCGTTTTTTTTTTTGGATTTTTCATTGAGAATTTTTGTATTAAATGGACAAATGACTACGAAAGGAGTGCACGATCACGAGAGGAAACAATCTGCCAAGGGACGAAAGGACGAGAGGACCAAGGGAGACCAGGGGGGGGGGAAGAGAGGAAGGAAAAGGGGTTTTTTTTTACATGCAACGATAACGAATCAGGAATGATTCCGAATACAATAAATACGTAGAAGAGCAAAGCAGCGCATTAGCGAAGAAACGAATGCTGCTACGTAGAGACAGAGGTGCGCAACTAGATGTGTTTTTTTCGGATCGTTTTTTTCACTTTTCTTTTTTTTATTTTTGCAACATGCCTTTTTTTAATATGGGGTGCTTTTGGATTAATGGGAAACGGGGGCGGGGCGGGCGTCTCAACAACACATTGGCGGCGGCCCGCCGCGATTTCTCGCTTTTCTACGAAACTCACGCCACTCGCGCCTAAAATTCTAAATCCTTAGTTTTTAACTATTTACACCACTTTTTTTTTCGTCGATTCTTTTTTCGTCTATTCCACTCATTCAGTCCATAATTATTTTTTTTTCTTTAATTTTTTGACTCTCATTCATTCATGCGACGACAAATATTTGCATTTACTCTTTTTTTTTTTTTGCTTTAGAAACTACAATTTCTATTCTGCTAAAACACGATTTTTTTAAATTCTGGTTCCTCGGTATTTTAGACAGACACAAACATGTGGTATAAAGGTACGGTAATTGCAAACTGGAGGCCGCGGCGGACCGATCAGTCTCATAACAAAACGCTTAAAACTTTAATAGCTTCTGGCTTTTTTTTTTAATTCTATTTCTCGAGTGGATTGATTTTTATTTTCTTCTTGTCGATTGCCCAGGTTCATTTTCACACAATATACATTAAACATTTTTTTGACTCATACACACAAGACAAAAATTTTTTTTTACGATTACTATGTCTTAGGATAGTACAATAACATTAATGATTTTTTTATAATATTTAATAATTATAGTAGAGTAGATGATTGATGAATGATGTGGAGGCTGTACAGAATGCGCGATTTTCATGATTATCACATGTAGTAGATTATTCCATTTTTTTTGTAACGTTGACAATTTTTTTTTTAGCGTTACGAGAATTTTTATTGCTGATTGCTATCCTGACTTTTTGATGGGAAAGTTTGGGATAGATTAGCAATGGGGATACAGGTGGGGGGGAAGAAACGCGCAGCACTGATATTTATTTTTTTTGGCACTTTTTGAAAGCGTCTATCAGCGACACTGGCACTTTTGAAAAAATCTCATTTTTTCTCACAGACACAAAAAGAGAAACTTAGAATCCCGTGTTCCCACCTGTTTTTCACAATTTTCTTTTAATAAATTATTTGGTTTGTCACGCGCTTGGAGCGTCCTGGCACTTTTTTGGAGTTGGGGGCGATGAACTCGCCACTCGTAAAAAGCACTACGCCTCAAGGGAGAGAGCCTTGCAGGGTCCAACTAAAGGCCTTGGTGATGGAGATGGTGATTTTTTGGAGAGGTTCAGTGGTTGCTGACTGTCGGCGATGTCGACTTGGAGTTCCATCATGTTGCTGGGACAGCCGGAGAGGACGAGGGTCGCTGCTGTGCTTGAGGTAGGCCTTGGACTCGTACTCGTGCTACTCGTCGCCGCCGCCGAGAGATACCTGGGCGACGATGCGGGCGAGTTGCCGACGACTAAGTAGTCCGACGAAGACTGATGATGGTGATGATTATGATTGTTCTGATGCTGTTGGCGAGCGCCGGTGGTCGTCGTGATGACGGAAGTTGCGGGCCATCTTGAGGTGGAGTAGGCGGAAGTGGCGCACTGGAGAAGACCCTGCGAGCCCTGGGGACTGCGGGTGATGGTTGTCGTTGAGGCGCACTGCTCGGCGGGCGACGGCGAGGTTGTGGGTGATCGCGGACTGGCCTCGCCACGCATGATGTAGTTGTGAATGATGTCTGTGCGCTTCATTTGCTCGGCGGTCATTCTGGGACCCTCCATTAGACTCTTGGCCAAGGTGGAATGAGTGCTGCTGAGGAGGCTCGCTGTTTGCGGACAATGAGATTGCGTTTGAGTTGATGGACTTCGCACCGGGGGCGACGTCAAGTGAAGATGAAGTTGCGACTGAGTGTGTTGCACCACGGCTGGCTCGGCTTCTGCACTGTCCTTCTGCCGGAGGGCGCGGAACTTCTTGTGAGGTTTGTAGGCCTCGTCCATCAGTGAGTTGGTATCGTAGAGGGGAGGAGCTTGAAGGACTCGTTTCAACACTGGCATGTCTTCGACTTCCTTGTCCTCGGAGCGTGGACTGGAGCAAACCGAAGTGGGTGCACTACTCGCGCTACTGCTGGCCGGCTTGTCGGCCTTCTCGGTACCCGATTCGATTCCACTGTCACTTGGCGAGTCCAATTTACGGAAACGCGGACACTGGGGTGGTTGAGGTGTTTTCGAGAGGGACGCGCGATGCATGTCGTCGTCGCCGGAACTCGTACTGCCGGAGTTCGCTCTCCGACGATGGGGACACAGACCGCCGGCGAGGGTGGCCGCGAGGAGTGGCGCGTTGGAAGCATGATGACCACTGGACGCCGCCACGTGATGGTATTCCGTCAAGGCTGCGACTTCCCCACTGCACGTGCTCTCCGTACTCGAGACACTACCGAGGGGACTCTTGACAGCCTCGTCGAGGGCAATGTCCGAGACGGATCCCCAGGACACTACCGGATCCTCCTCCATAGGCCAGTGTTGTTGCATGGAAGCGGCGTGTTGAGCCTGTTGCTGTTGGGCCTGCAACTGCTGCTGCTGCTCAGTCATCTTGAAAGCCAGCAATTTTTCCGAATGGAGAGTGTTGAGTGTTCTGAGATCCGGAATTTTCTTGAGAAGCTCCCTCAGGATGTCTGGATGTTGAGGATGATTTTGAGCCAAGACTGTTTGAAGGGCATTGCGCAGTTTGTTGTGCATGCGTTCAACCAGTTCGGTGTTCCTTAGTCCAGGTCGATCAGCGGCAATCACTACCACGGAACAGAAGAGACCCAATTCGGCGTCCGACAATCTCAGCGAGTTCACTCTCTCTGCAAAGTCGAACATGGAATCCATGAGGAATCTGGCATTACTGCTGTTGTGGATGGACTCTCGCTTGAGCACTTGACCGTTTAGACAGATCATGCTGTTGGTTTGCGCGTCGAACATACAAGCCAATCGAACCAACAGAACTTCAAATACTCCGGCTTTTAGTAAAGTAACTTGATCATCCTGGGCGAGTAAACTGAAGCCCGGGATCCGTTTTGCAAATTCCACTACACCACGAATTGCTGGTGAGAACCTCTTGGAAAAGTCTTGCAACAATTCCTGTTGACCGGTCAACGGCTGTGGGTTTGGATTCAATGGGCAAGCCTGTAACAAAAAAAAAAAAACTCACATAAGTACTAATTCAACACAACAAGCGAAAACTCGCCGAATATCGGAACAATAATTCCAGACGTCCTTCATTGAGAATACTTTCTTCGATCGAATCGAGGACGTCTGGTTCTCAATTTCCGCGTTCGACAAGTACAAAGTCTTTGAGCGTGACTCGTTTAACAAAGTAACAAACACATAAAAATCCAATGACACTAACCAAGGTTGGTGGACATGCGGTGTAGTTTGGAGTTTCCCTTGCTCTGGCGAGAACCGGAGCAACCTTGTCTCTCGTAAAATCGCACGTGTCCAAATGAGCACGAACAACAGTGGACAAAAGACGTTGTTCATCCTCCAATTCGGCAGCTACTGCCTTCTCCTGAGAGCGACTGTGAGAACTCTGCTGCATTGCAGCCAAAATTCTTGCCTTCTCTCTTTTAGGCACACGCCCGAATCGAACAGCTGTAACAAAAACAAAAACATTCCATTTAGTCTCGCAACAGGAAAGAATCTATCAAGGAAATGGATCTCGATTTGATAAACGATCAGTGAATCACTTTTAATGAACATGCAACAAAGTGGCCTTCCTCGATGGCCGTCGATCGCGTGACGCGGAAAGGATCTCGCGAGGCTGCATCATTGTCAACCATTTAACAATGTCAGACAACGTGCGACTCCTCAATAGAATCACTAAAGAAGCCCGTGAGACTCAATAGGAGAAAGTGAGCGCGCGACTTTCACGCGACGAAAGTGTTCTGGCTCCAGGCAACACAAGTAGAAAGTTTCAAACAGATGGTTCACTGATCAGAATATCTTCCCCATTGAATAACAATAATATTCCCAATAATCCAAATAATTCCCAAATTTCCAATAATTAAACTTCACCAACTTTAAACAATAGAACACGTGGTCATCCAATCAATAACAAAAAAAAATAATCCATAACACAAAGAACACCTACGTGCATTATGATAATTGACGACACCATTCAGGATCCCTTTAAGGATCGGTAGCTCGTCTCCCATGTCGATGGGCAGGAGCAAAAAATTTGACAAAAAAAAATTTCTCTTATTCACTCAATCTCGATTGCACTTTGAATTACTATTCCATCAAATAACTGGGAAAAGAAAACAATTCCCAAGTGTAGAATGAAGAACAAAAAAAAACTGTTTTGATGACAAGTTCCAGTGCAATCACAGAATGGCACTTGGTTAAATGTAAACTTCTTTTTTAAGACTTGAGCGCGTTTCGATAACGCGTGTAAACGCGAGACAGCATCACCGCCGACTGAGTGACGTTCAGCGAGTCGCGTTCAACAGCCCCCCACTTATTCAGTCATCAAACGGCCCCCACCAGCCGGCGCGATTGTGGCCTTTGCCGAGCCTTTGGCCTTGAACTTGGTTTCAACGATAGCCGCGCGAGGCGTACCACCGACCTATATACTATATACATATAGGCACCTATACGTGGGGCGAACTAAACGAACAACGCAACTTGAGGGTGAACTGCGCAGGTGTGGTATTAAACTCCAAGGGTAGCTTACCCTTCGTGACCTTGAACAACCCCTCGCGACGAGTTTCCTCAACTGCCGATGACCTTTCAGTTTAAAAAACTATTATTTACTCTTAATTAGAATTGGTGCTGGTAATATTAAAACTGCTAACAATATTAGTCCTGGTAATACTAGTATTGCTGTCAAAACTGGTAAATACTAATATTACTAGTACAATTACTAGTAATATTAATATGCAATTAATTGCAAGTAATATTTAAACTAGTTTTAGTATTTTTACCCTACAGGGAGGGCTATTGTCGATTAGGTAGTTTTTCTTATCTATTAGCCATAGGAATTACGACCTAAGGGACAATGGCACTGACGTTGGTTTTTGCCCACCAAGGGCAGACTAATACTAGTTTTTTTACGGCTACCAGTACTAGTGGAACTAGTAATACTAATAAACACCAGCACTAGTAATACCAATAACCGAATAGTACCAATTTTCCACTAAACGATGAGGGGGGAAAACATTCTTTCACAGCGAATTTGTACATTAACACTGAGAAATTTGTTTGATATAAAAATTCTTACTTGAAATATAGAATTCTGATGAAATAGTTAATAATAGAACGGCATGTTTTCGCGCTGTGATGGATAACGTTTGAGCGCCGAGCGCCTATTGATAGGGGGATTCACGGTAGCTCGTTTAGTTTGGCGGGAGACTGGAGAAGCATGCGCGCTCTGCCAGGTGAATTTCAAGTAAGGGGGAAAACTGGAAAAGAAGATCAAAGAAGAGGGGAGAGAGTGTGTGAGTGTAGTTATGAAGAGTGAAGTTCGCGAGGTCTCCGCGAGGAGTGTAGCGCCACGCGACGGCGCGTTGTCACTTGAAGGGAGGGGGGAGGAGGAGGCATTATCGTGCCGCTGAACCGAAGAAATCGAGCACCAGGCAAAATTCATCGGGAGAAGGAGGGAAAAGGAGAGTGGGTGCTATCGGTGGGAGGTGGGAGAAGGAGAGGGTACACTCTGAGGACGTAGCGGCGCGTAGCGGTACTCCTTCTACTGACGGAACCACTTGCAAGGCGAGCAACGACCGACTATTGACCCCAAGCACCTTCCCTATCAGAAGGTTTTTCCAAAATGCAAAATTATTTTTAGCAAATGAGCCAACAGTTCATTTTCAGATTACTAAAAATAATTTTGTATAACTGAAAGATAATTTTGGAGGACTGAAAGTAATCGTCATGTGCATGGCTAATTGATTAGCTATCAACTAATTTTGAATTGAAGATTAAAAATTAAAATAGGGGGATTTTGTTTTGATTCGTTAAAATGGCGATTACCGATGGAAATGGAGAACACGAAATAATTTTACTTTCTCGACTGTCTACTTTCGCTGGTTGCGACACAACTCGGCTTCGAAATCTCATGTTGCACGACCGTCACTCGAAAACATTCGAAAGTACTTTTTTTAATTACGAAAAAACTTTCCTTCCAGGTCCGAGGGGGGAAATGTAAAAATCGCTGATTCAATCGCTACTGCTTTGATTGCTACCGTTTTAATCGCTCCTGTTTCAAGTACTGCCGATTTTGTTTCTACTGTTTCAAATACGAAAGTTTCAATCGCTACTGTTTCGATCAATCCCTACTGTTTCAATCATTAACGTTTTAATCCGTACTGCTTCAATCATTAGGGTTTTTACCGATTCTGTTTAAATCACTAATGTCCTAATCCCTACTGTTTCAATCACTAGTGTTTTAATTTAGAATGTTTCAATCACTAGAGTTTCAATCACTAGAGTTTCAATCACTAAGTTTCAATCGCTACTCTTTTGATCACAACCGATTTAATTGATACAGTTTTAATTACTACCGTTTTAATCCTTTTGTTTTAACTACTACTGATTCCCGAAAGTATAGAAATAAAGAAAAATGTTTGCAACTATAAAAAAAACTACAACCTTTCGATAATTCGATCTGATAATGTGGTCGAAAGTAGAAAAACAAAAATCGCAAAACTAGAGTAAAAATTTAAAAATACATACCATCTCGACTCATGCCAACAGCGATGCACTTCTTGAGACGACAGTACTGACAACGATTTCTGTTGATCCGAAGAATGCTGCACTGTTGATTCTTGGTGCAAGGCCTGTACTGAATTTTCTGCTGGATACTCCTTCGGAAAAAACCCTGTGAATCACCAACAAAACCCTCGTCAGTTTGACCGTCACTGTCAGATGATGACTCCGAGGAACAATCGTCCCTCGTACGCGAGGTGGCTAGATCGTTCTCACACAAGCACCCCATGAATTCTTTCCACACAAGAAAAAAAAGAAATTAAATTCCAAATAAATAAAACAATTTCACAAGGATAAATCTTCGCAACAACTTCTTCGCTATTCTTCTTCAAAACAACTTCTCCAAGATTAAAACACTGCTCCTTACAGAGATCTTTTGCACAAAAAAAGAAAAATTTCTCAAGAAACTCCCAAAAAAACTAATCACTTGTTAATAAATTCCAAAATTGTAAATAGTATCATTTGGTGGGTTATTGAAACACACAACTCTTTTTTTTTTAACAATTCTTTTTCGTTCAAGAGACAGAAACGCGTCCGTTGATATCGGAGTTTGGCTATGGACTGGCTCTCTCTAGTACTGAGAGCATAGGAGCCTCGGCACATTGCTTCTGACTCGCGGGAGAGAGAGAGAGGTGGGGGCCCTCTGACCCAATTCCCGGACATTCACCCGCAGTTCACCGCGTGAAAGTGAGAGTTTCTGTATGCTCGACGCTCCCTCATTTTCTCTCTCGCACACTGGCAACCCCTTATGAGTTTCTCTCTATCGCGCCGCCGTGCTACCATTAGCGCGCGCCAATCGCTCTAGTAACGGGTTCCTTTCCCCCGTTGTGACCCCTCCCTCCAAACGTCCCACCCTCTAAGTTCTTCGACCCCTCTATCAACGAATAACTATATCACAACATATTACAGAGGGCAACTTACTGATCCCCTTCTCTCTCTCTCTCTCTCTCTCTTTATAACCTTCGTATATATATCTCTCCCGAGTGTGTTATTTTTACAAAAAAAAACTTCTGCCCCAATCACCTCTCACCTCAAAAATTAATCGCATCTCAAAACTAATCTCAATTCGAGAAAATTTCAACCAATTCTAATCTACATTAATCTTAGGATAGTAGTGTCTTAAAATTAATCAAAATTGATACTGTAGGTTTGGGGTACTGTACTATTTGATACTATAAATTTGGGGTACTGTACTATCACAGCTTTTCTAAAGATATCAAATTGAGACAAAACACGAATCAAAAGTGTTGCGAGGCAGGCAACACTTTTGATTCGTGTTTTGTCTTAATTTGATATCCTTAGAAAAGCTGTGATTTGGGTAATGGTATTTGATACTAGTACTAAGAATACAGTAAATTTTTGTGCCACTAGGAAAAATACAGTAGTACCTAGCAGCAGCATTTAGCATCAGTATTGAAAAATACAGTGCACCAGTACAGCAAAAATCCTCAATATTGACTGAAGAACAAAAAAAATAAACCAAAAGTACAACATTATTTTCCATTTTCACTACAACATTGAGTAGTAGATACCATGAGAAAAGAACATGAAATTGGAAAATTTGAAACAAAGGGGCGAGAAAATGGGGTTGATTGACAGTGGGGTCACACGGGGAAACTATCTCCGGTCATTGTCCTCATTTCAGGGGGTTCGAGTAAGTTCGGGAAAAGCCCAGGTCCAAAGAAGGACAGCCAGCGATGGGTCAGCGGGAGTCGGCTATCGGTCAACGACCTCGCTGCTGCTCATGGATTATGTAACCACTGGTGGAACGTCGTCGTTGACGCTTGCGCACAAGAATTATGCATATATATACGCGAGCAAGAGGACGATTCAAGTGACTCTTCGGTGACGTCAGACTCGCGACCTCGCCTACCTCAACTTATAGTGCAGCGAGAAACGAGGTACCGTTGCACCTTGCAATGACGACGCGATTCCCAACACGTATACACTCGAATGTAGTTTACCGAATGGACTCCTCCCTTTAGAAACAAAGGATAAAACTAAATACAATCAAAAATTGAAAAGCCAAAAGTAAATCAATTTTTTGTCATTAAAATAATAATTTAAAAAATCAAATACAAAGGGAAACAAAATGTTTAAAATAGAAATAATGAAGAGTATGATCCGAAGATAAGCCAAGCGGATAAATATAAGGAAATATGGTCCAAGTGGATAGAAAACTAATCCAAACGGATAAATAAGAAAATAAAATGAAAAATAGAGAAATATTCTCCAAACAAATTGGCAACGTTTGCTTAATTATTTAGAAAATTGTTCAGAAATTAGAATAATTAAAGTATGGCGAATTAGCATGAGCCTCCTGGGGAATTATACTCACTGCCGGAGGAAAAGACTTGAGAGACCGAAACGAGTTTGAGGGTTGGGATGTGAAAACGTATTCATAACGTCTCGATATCAAACAACTTGATACGTCACGTATCAACGTTTTCACTCGATAAAGCTAATCGACAACTAATCATTCTGCAACTCTTTGCAAGTGCGAGTAAGAGAAAGTTTATTCATAACGCGTTTGCAATAGTCATTTTATAAGGCAAATGGTTATATTACCATATAAATACAAACATATACCCTGCTTGGGGAATTAAACTCGTGCAAAACTGATTTTGTTTTCTGTTCCTTCCTTTGGGTACTGTTCCTAAATTTAAAACTTGATGAATGCAAATTGAATCAAATTGATACGAAATTGGGTTGAATTGAACACAGATTCAACAGATTGAATCAAATCGGAACCAAATTTGGAACAAATTGATGCCACATTGTATAAAATATTAAACTGTTACCAAATTGAGTCGAAGTGGTACCAAATTTTTAAAATCCGAATTCTTTTTCCGCTAACTCTATAACGAAATCCTACAACTCCAAAATGAAAAATAACTCTCAAGGGAATTATTCCAAGAAAGAACAGAAGTAAAGAAACCAAAAATAACATTTACCCAAAAGTTTCCTCTTAGATTTTCGATTTTTCCTTTAAACAGAATCAAAGAAACAAACTCCGGATACGATTAACTTCCTGAAAAATTGTGTTCACCTTCCACCCACACACACACATGTGTATAAATACACATATGTAGATCTGTTGCTGACAAAGATTGTTGGAGCAAACCTGCAGTTTTCGCCCGGACGAGGGCACTAACCCTGGTTGAACCCCTCGACAGTAAAAGAGGGGCAGTGGGTGATGAGGGAGAATCTGGAGGTGGCACATCGATCTTTTCAACGGTTGCATTCCCCAAACGGGTCAGAGGGTTGAAAACCTTCGCGCTACTATTCTGCCTCCAGTTTCTCAAAGCGCAGGCGTCCCTTAACACCCCCCTTTGTGGCCCTTTCGGTACAGGAGACCCGTCACGGGGGTTGCCATGACGCTATTCCTGTATTCGACTATTCCAATTTTAACCCCACCCACCCTCTCAAAGCCCTCTTTTTTAGAATCGGTCATTGTGTTCATTTTAATAGTTCTACGACCTCGTTTAAACTCTTCCATGACATAAGTCCATCATTCTTATACAATCGCTTACGGAATTTCAAACACCATCAACATTTTCTAGATTTATTCTTACGAGTGTGTTTCTAGATTTATTCTTTTAAGTGTGTGTGTTAGCGAGTATTTTTTTGTTGGTAATTTTTAAAAAATTCAGTTTTTCTAAAGATATCAAATTGTGTTACTAGTTATTTTTACTATTAAAAAGTACTGTTTACTTTCACTATTAAAAAGCACTATTTTTACTATTAATAACTATTTATTTTCATTGTTGAAAATAGTCTATTATTGAAAATTATTCACTATATTGTTAAGTAATGATGATAAATTTTACTATACTGCGTTCTAGTAATAGTGAATTACTATTTACTATTATTTTCATTTATTTTTCAAAATGTATTTTTCAAAATTGGTAGAAAATTTTTTAATTAATAGTGAGTAGTAGTGTGATAATTGGAAGGCAAAATCAAAAAAATAGTGAAACTAATAGAAAATAAGAAAATATTGTAGTAAATATAGGTAATAGGGAAAACAGTAGGGAAATATAATAGTGAAAATAGTAGAAAAAACTAGTGAAAGTAATAGGGAAAATACTAGTGGATATATTGGTCAAACAATAGGAAAATACTAGTAAATATAATAGTGAAATAATAGGAAAAATAACTAGTAAATATAGTAGGAAAAATATTAGTAAATTCAATAGTGAATATAATAGTGAAATTAGTCAAAATAATAGAGAATATACTAGTGAAAATGATAGCTAAGTACTAGTAAATATAATAGGGAAGTAATAGCAAAATAATAGGGAAAATACTAGTAAATAAAATAGTTAAAAAATAGGGTAAATACTAAAAAATTTAATAGTGAAAATAAGGGGAAAATACTAGTAAATTTAATAGTGAAAAACAATATGGAAAGTACTAGTAGATTTGATAGTGAAAATAATAGGGTTATAGTAAAAATAAGGGGTGAAATACTGGTAAATTCAATAGTGAAAATAATTTGGAAAATACTAGTGAATAAAGTAGGGAAAAAATAGGGAAAATACCAGCAAATATAATAGGAAAATAAGGGGGAATACTAGTAAAAATAGTGGGAATAATAGGGAAACTACTAGTAGATAAAATAATGAAATAATAGGGAAAGTACTAGTAAAAAAAATAGTGAAAAATAGGGACCGTACTGGCAAATATAATAGTGGAAATAAGGGGAAACTACTAGTAAAAATAGTGGAAATTATAGGGAAAGTACTAGTAAATAAAATAGTGAAAAAATAGGAAAAGTACTGGCAAATATAATAGTGAAAATAAGGGGAGAAATACTAGTAGATTTAATAGTAAAAATAATAGGAAAAGTACTATTGAACATAATAGTAAAAATAATAGGGAATATAATAGTAAAAATAATAGTGAATTCTGAAAATAATAAGTGAAAAAATAGTAAGAACCCAGAAGAAAAATTGAATTCGGGAGCAAGAGTAGAAATTGATCTGTCTAAAGAAAAAGTAAGCATCAATTTAAACAGAAGTGAACACGATGCGAGATGAAAAGTTGAGAAAGGAAACTTTCTACTGATTTCCTCTTACCTCGCAAAAGTTAATCACTGAAGAAACCCTT